CTGTATTTTATCTTATGTGGAAATGATCTAAATATTCAATGAATTTTCATTATTAACTTAGCAAAACTCTAAGGGTGGAAATTACTAAAAATATATTTAGAAAAGTATTTTTATTTATTTTTTTAATAAAAATACTATTTAGTTTATTAAAACAACCTCATCAAGCACATCTTAATTCAGTCATAATTGCATCCCAATGTTTCATTGTGGGTGAAAATGAACAGTAGGTTCAGCTTGCCCTGTGACAATGCATATTCTTTTTTTTTTTTAATTAATTTATTTTTGTTACAGATGTTTCTCCTTTTCCCTCACTGATACCCCCTTTTCCTCATCCTCCCCACCTTGTCCCCAGAGCTGTTGTCCATGTCCATTTTTCATGCATACATGCATATAAGTTCTGTGGTTTATCTCTTCCTGCCACCCCCTTTTCTGGGAATTGTCAATCTGTATCCCACTTCCACGTCTCTGGGACTACCCCATTCCTCAGATTGTTATGTTCATTATATTCCACAAATAAGTGAGATCATATGACATTTGTCTTTCTCTGCTTGGCTTATTTCACTTAGGATAATACTTTCCAGGTCCCTCCATGTCATCTCAAAGGATAAGAGATCTTTCTTTCTTACAGCTGCATAGTACTCCACTGTGTATATGTACCACTGCTTTTTTATCCATTTGTCTACTGATGGACATTTGGGCTGTTAGAAAACTATTTTTTAAACAGATATACCACAAAACACAATTATATTGTTGAAACATTTACTTGTAAACTTTTATGTACGTTTATAGCATTCACTTGTTCTCAACAATTATGTTTACATTACTCATGAAAATTTCATGAGATTAAACAGCTGACCATAATTTTTTTTTTTTGGTGATGAATTCTGGAACAGAAAGAACATGAACTTATTTGATTATAAACCCAGGTAGACTAAGAGTTTTGTGCCTGTATTATATTTAATGCTGATAACTCTGAAGACATGCTTATTTTAATTAAACCACACATTTCAACTAGATTTTATTGATCAAAAATTCTCTCAGATCATGTGAACATAAATTTAAAAATTTGGATTAGTTTCTATTAGAGTACTTAATTTACATAGGGGTTTCTTTTCTTTAAGCCAATTAAATAAAGCTCTGTAGGGGAACTCACTGAGATGCAATACGACTCCAGCAGCAAAGGCATCTGGGAAATGTTGGACTCTTAACTCTCTGTAGCCTCAGACTTGTCTGACTACCCAGAAAATAGCAATGCCACCAAAAAATAAATGTCATGTGCCTAAGAAAGAGGTTAATAAATGTATAGAATGTGATAACTGACTAATGTTATTTTGTTAACTTAGAAATGCATTGTTCTATCTGATGGCCTATATGACTATGGACCATATGGTTTTACTATTAACCCCCTTTTAAAAAAAAACTGTGTCCTGGGAGGGGTGTGGATTTTTCCTGGCCAGCCACCACTGGAAGCAGCTGCTTTGCCCATATATGTAGGTTTTTTCTGTTAAAGCTCTTATAAATTTGAATAAGGCTATGTGTCAGTTCTTCAGAATCTATCTTGAATTTGGATATTTGGGGCTTCCTCCAACAAGCTCTTTTATGAATTTATCACCCCAAAGTAGAAAAATACTGTAACTATAATATTCATATACAGACATAAATATAAGCACATGGATAGATGAAAAGAGATCTTATAACTTTCAATTTAAAATTTTAGTCATAAGACAGGTCCATTAATACAAAACTTGCTAGTTTATAAAAAAATAGTTGGATCCAAATTGTGTTTCTGGCAGCTGGAATTAGTTAAGTTTAGCAGCTCAGATGGCTAAACCTTTTTTTACTGGTATTTGTGGGGAAGACTTTGACAATATTTTTATTTGCCCGATTTTCAAATAACTTTTCTTTCTTCTTTTGAGAGTCATCTTTCTGAAGTTGGCATTTTATTTTATTTTATTTATTAATTTTAGAGAGAGGGGAAGGGAGAGGGAGAGAGATATATAAACATCAATGAGAGAGAACATTGATTAACCGCCCCCTGCATGCCCCCCACTGGGGATCAAGCCCACAACCTGAGCATGTGTCCTGATCAGGAATCGAACTGGTGACCTCTTGGTGCATGGGTCAATGCTCAACCACTGAGCCATACTAGCCAGGCTGAAGTTGGCATTTTAAAGAGAGAGTTCTGGGTTCCTAGAGAAGAGGAAATCATAACATATCTTAGAGGCACAGAGAAGGTGTCCAAGTTTTCTTCAAGAAGTCTTGGACCACATTATTGAGGTCTTAGGTAATTACTATTTAAAATGTCTCTTCTTATTCTTAAGTGCAGAACAATTCTGTTTCCAAAGTCCAGCTCTTTCACAACATCTGCAAGCATTTTGAGATAAATAGACAGAGGTTTAGAGATTGGTAAAAGGATAGGTGAAGTTAGAATTGCTTCTAAAGCTGCCTTATTATTTTGTGAAGATAAAGGTACTTGCTTTTATTCCTCAGAAAGTTTGATTTCAGCCTGAATGACATCAAGAGTCTGATGTACCCATTCAACTACATTATCTTCAATTTGCATTTTGATATCAGGGAGAAGATTTACAAGTAAGATGAAAATCAAAAGGCTCCTGCATTCCAGATTTAGAGCTGTGTGTCTTTAGACAGTTTTTATAATTCTGAAAGGGGCTGGAGAGAATAATAGAATAATAGAGAACTAATCATAATGGGATGCTAGCCATAGTTATAATAAATGTTGAACATCCCTACTCTGTTAATTGTGATTGCTTTGTTCTGATTAAAGAAAACCCAATCTGACCTGCCTGGGAGTTGTATGCCCTGGGAGTTTACCTTGAGAATGCTATTCATTCTTCTTTCTCTAGAACTGCCCCCTCCCACCCTTGCCAAGTTCATGGAAAGAAAGACTAACAACCTTGGAGTCTTGGAGGTGGTGAACTAGAGACAGCCCACATTCCCCAGCTTCCATTATTTCCATATGCCTGTAATCTGTAACTGTTTAACCCACTATTCCCTTTTGCCTTTCTCCCCATGTAATACCCAATATAAGCAACTGGCCATGGAGGGAGTGCAGAACATATTTTTGCAGGATGACCTGGCTGCTCTCCCATACTTCCAGCAATATTTGAATAAACACTCATATACGATTCAACCTTGTCTCTGCTTAACTGGCTCAAGTAGTAATAGGTGGCCTGCACCCATTTGTTGTCTGGTTTCAATCCTTCCACAATGTCTTCAGGGTATTTTCTTTCCTTCTTGGTACCTAGTTCCATTTTAGCTTACGAGGCAAGGCCTAAAATTAAAGTTTGTATCAGGCTCTGAATATCAACCTCCAATTTGGCCAACTTCTGACCATAGGACTCTTTTTAAAAAGTCTTTTAAAATATCTTATCAGGTTTCAGCCAGGAAAAACAGTAACTGTTCTTGGTGCTAGTAAATTCCCACCCTCCATTTTTCTTTTAAACAAAAGGTCACTCAAAACTAAAACCAATAAGCCTTTTTTTTTTTTTTTTGCATTTATCTTCAGATAGAGTGGGAGGGAGAGAGGGAGGAAGAGAGAGAGAAACATCGACGTGAGAAAGACACATGGACTGGTTGCCACCCACATGACCCCAACTGGGGCTGGGGATGAATCTCAACCAAGGTACGTGCCCTTAGTGGGAACCGAACCCGGGGCTCTCTGATCCATGGGCCGATGCTTTAACCGCTGAGCCAAACCAGCCAGGGCCCAATAAGCCTTTTATAACTTAACTGCAGGTACAAAAAACATCCCACAAAGGATGTAAGAGATGCAGCCCTCCCAAGACCCAGAGTCATTTCCAAAGACAGCCAAAAAAAAAAAAGATTAGGCAATTCTGAGAGCTGATAACAGTCAGTTGGACCCTAGCCACAAATAAACTGCAACCCACATTTCTGTAAGGCCATATTTTGGGGACATCCAACCTGATAGTTTAGCCACTTATACACACAGAAACTGATAACCTGTATGCGCTGAGCCAGCAGAAAGCCAAGGCTAGTTCTCAGGACATGAAACAAGACAAAGAGGAAAGCATTACCATCCCTAGGAGGAAAAAGATCAATGACAAATGGGCATCCCCAAACCAAATGTTACCCAGAGTCACAATCCAAGAAATTAATTCTTACAAATGTTTTCTTCTGAAAATTTTGTTACTAGCAAAATGACGAGACCTCAGTTTTTGTCTTATTGAAGAAAATATTTTAATCAAGAGACAAAGTGTAGAAAAGCAAGCAAGAATTTATTGACCACAGCAAAAACACACTTAGGACAGTGAGACAAGGAAGGGCATAGAAGCAACAGGAGAGCCTAAACTTGGCTGCTTTGGCTCACTTGGAAGTCAGAGGAAAGGGGCTGTTGGGAACAGGTTGAGGGGATTAGCCTGAGACAAGCTGGCCCTCCCCATTGCTCCCCTGGCTGCAAATTTTATGGGGTCCCTTGGAGATTAGGAGATATGTGCCTGTGGGGGAAGGAGAGGGAGGAGGAAATGGTATGGGCATGCTTCCTGGAGGGAGAGCACACTGGGACCTTTGTTTTCAGGGGTTTTAGAGGCTGGGTATTTAGGGAAGGTCTTAGGGGAGGATCAATGAAATATTCATCAACTTTATGCTGATGTACCAAAATGAGATATATTCCCTTAATTTGTCTGACCTTGGGTATTTGGCAAATGGCACAAATTAGATTTTTGTTGTTTGTCTCTCTAAGTAGGGTGATTTAAGCTATTTGCCCTCTGGTAGGGGAGGAGAAGTGCAAACTATTTACTCTTAAGTGTTCTTGGTTTAGGGAAGCTAAAATATATAAGGTGGCTGCAAACTGCTACTTAACTATTTTTCCTATTTGCTTGTCCCGGAATCTTCCTAGCTTCTTACTATCCTATGCCAACTTGAATTTGGAAAGGAAAGAACAACATAAAGTTTTACCTTCCGCTCTCAACCAGGCACTGCAGAGAGAAATCGGGGAGAGATGAGTTTGGTAGAATCCTTACCCTTTGTAAGCTTCTGTCAATTTTCCCAGAATCTTGTCTGTAGGCTCCTGAGAGAGGATAGTTTCTCAACAAGTTTTAAAGTCACCAAACTGTAGGGAAGAAAAAAAAATTTCCCTCTACCCTTTTTAGTTCTTGTGGCTGAGACACCCTGCAATAAATGACAGGAGAAAAACAATAAATGTTTTTCAATAAAATGTTTTGCAATAAATTAACAAGAGAAAAACAAACAGAAATTTTATACATAAGAGAGACCCAAGAAAATGGAGTAAAAGTCCCTGACATGGCTCAAGCCACCACCTTACACACCATCTCCAGCTAAAGACCAAAAAAAAAAAAAAAAAAAGTGTTGTGAAGCCAGACATGGGGGCTACCAGAAAACTCTAGTAAACTAAGGTAAAGTTATCATGCAAGTTTCAGCCTGACCTTCTCCATTGATGGGATCAGATAGGGAGACCCCTTACAAATGGAGATTTTCCTTATTAATATAAAGTACCCTTACAAAAGGGCAGCACCTACTGTTTTCAGGGCTCTTCCTATGTCTGCAGGCTCTCAAATATAGCCAAAATAATCCTACTCAAAAAGGCACATTTGGTGTGGCACATTCTACTCCCCGCTTGACTATTCTCAATCTTTCTCCTCACACAATTCTACCATGTTTTATATGCCTAATATGTCCTAAAATCTAAAGAAAGGCATATATAGAACTAAGAAAAGTGAGTTAAGCATGTTGAAGTAATTCAGAGTCAGAACACGTTTACATATTACAACTGCCTATAAGGATGAATAAGTTGTATTTGAAAGTGCAGGTTACAGTAAAAAAAAAAAAAAAAAAAAAAAAATTCCAGTACGATAAAATATACCTAGGTATAATGTACACATTTATTGAAAGATTCATCAGTAGTTAACTTTTCACCTGAAAATATACATTAATTTTAGATAAGATATATTAAATTAAAGGACTGCTATGTGCTGTTTGACATGGGACTCAGCTGACTGGAAATGATAGAAGAAGTATACTGCCATTTTAGAAAAAGCAAGTTCCCAGGAGATCACTAGACCCTTTTGCCTCCCAGGAGATAACTAGATTCTTTTGCCTCCTAGAGATAACCAGACCTTTTGCTTCCTGCTTCTGTAAATTGCTTACCGCTTTTGCATCTAAAATGTCTGCCTTAGACGCGAGACAGGGCTGGAAGCCTGTGGTGGGCAGCGGCCTCAGCTGTGAGCTGAGGCCTCGGCTGGGAGCTGTGGCCTCCGCAGGGAATGGCACCCTCGGGTTAAGCTCCCATATGGCTTCACAGTGCAGAGCCAACACAGAGGCTAAAATAGCAGCAGCCACTCACCTTGGGCTCCGGCAGAAGGAGGGCAGACTGGACTAAAACTGTCTGGAGACACTCGGGACTTGGAGGGCTCTCAGAGCTTCTGCTTCATTGCAGTGACGCAGGACTTTGGTCATCTTACTCATTCCCAGGGCTCTGGGAAAAGACAGCAGCCCCTCCCTCAAAGATTCAACCCCACCTGGTGGAAAATGAAATGCTAATTGAGGCCTATTAACAACCAGAATCTGCCCCACCCTCGGGAAATCCTCTTAAGCTAAGCACCTGAGGGAGTCTTTCATTCAACTGAGAAGCCTAGGTTCTTCAGGTGACCACTACTAATAGCCTCCAGGCAAAAAGCTAGAGGATAACTGCAACATTCCCTGGGATAGCAACTCAAACCAGGAAAGTAAGACTTCACAGTGGTGTTTAATATGGGTCCTCCCTGCCTCATCCAAACACAGGAGAGGGAGCCACAAACAGCAGAACACCAACACCCACAGGGAAAATATGGCAGGCTCCAAAGCCCACTGTGATAGCCAAAATGGTGAAACACAGAAACAAAAGCCAAATGGAAAAACAAGAGACCTCTACCAAAGATGAGATAAATGAGATGCAGTTAAGCAAGTTAACAGAACTAGATTTCAGAGCCATGATCTTGAGGAAGCTCAACAGCATGTGTAAGGATATGAGCACCATGAGTAAAGACATAGAAATGTTGAAAATCAACCAGTTGGAAATTAAACACCACCAAGAAGAAATGAAGAATGACAAATCAGAAGTAAAGAACACATTGAAAGGTCTAAATAGCAGAGTGGAGGAAGCTGAGGACCGGATCAGTGAAATAGATGATAGGGTAGAAAAAAATCAACCAATCACAAAACCAAAGGGAAAAAAACAATTAAAAAACAGGAAGACAGCTTAAGAGAACTGTGGGACAACTGGAAATGTAATAACATTTGCATCATAGGAGTTCCTGAAGAAGAAAATGAGCAAGGGTTAGAGAATATATTTGAAGAAATAGTGACAGAAAACTTCCCTAATTTGGTGAAGAAAGAAGCATTCAAGTTCAAGCATAGAGAGCCCCAAGTAAGAAGAACCCAAACAGGCCCACACCAAGACACACAGTAATGAAACTGCCAAAAATTAAAGACAAAGAGAGAATCCTAAAAGCAGCAAGAGATAAGCAACAGGTTACCTACAAAGGAAACCCCATAACGCTCTCAGCTGACTTCTCACAAGAAACACTACAGGCCAGAAGGGAATGGCATGAGGTAATCAAGGTCATGAAAAACAAGGATCTGAATCCAAGACTACTCTACCCAGCAAGGCTATCATTCAAAATACAAGGTCAAATAAAGTGCTTCCCAAACAAACAAACAAAAAGGCTAAGGGAATATATTAGCACCACACCAGAACTGCAAGAAATATTAAAAGGACTGTTGTAATTAGCAGGAGAAATAGAAAGAAAAATCGAACCACACTAAACAAAAATGGCAATAAATAAGTACATATCAATCACCTTAAATGTAAATGGATTGAATGCTCCAATAAAAAGACACAGAGTAGCTGATTGAATAAGAAAGCATGACTCATCTATAAATTGTTTACAAGAGACCAACCTCACAACAAAAGACTCACATAGGTTGAAAATGAAGGGATTGAAAAAAAATCTTCAAAGAAAATGGAAAGGAAAAAAAGCTGGGGTAGCAATACTCATATCTGATAAATTAGATTTCAAAATGAAGACCATAACTAGAGACGAAGAAGGCCACTACATAATATTGAAAGGATCTATCTCACAGGAAGATATAACCTTGATAAACATATATGCATCCAATATAGGAACACCAAAATATATCAAAAATCTTCTGGAAGACTTTAAAGGAGAAATCAATAGCAATACAATCATAGCAGGAAACTTCGAAACCCCACGGACATCACTGGATAGATCCTCTAGACAAAAAATTAGCAAGGAAACAGAAACTCTAAATGAAGCACTAAACCAAATGGATTTAATAAATATCTACAGAGAATTACACCCCAAAACTACAGAACTTACATTCTTCTCAAGGGCACATGGGACATTCTCAAAGATAGACCACATGTTAGGACATAAACTAACTCTCTACAAGTTCAAGAAGATTGAAATCATCTCAAGCATCTTCTCAGATCACAATGGCATGAAACTAAAAATCAATTGCAACAAGAACATGCAAAGACATTTGAATACATGGAACCAAATTAGCATGTTATTAAATAACGAATGGGTCAATGAGGAGATCAAGGAAGAAATTAAAAACTTCCTGGAAAACAATGAAAATGAACACACAACAACACAAAACCTGTGGGATACAGTGAAAGCAGTTCTGAGAGGGAAGTTCATAGCACTACAGGTCTACCACAAGAAGCAAGAAAAATCCCTAATACACTACCTAACCTCACAACTTGAAGAACTAGAAAGCAAACAAAAAGTAAACCCTAGAGCAAGTAGAAGAAATAAAATAGTAATAATCAAAGCTGAAATAAATGACATAGAGTCCAAAAAAAAAAAAAAATTCAAAGGATCAATGAAACAAAGAGCTGGTTTTTCAAAAAGATAAACAAGATTGATGGACCCTTAGCTAGACTCACCAAGAAACAAAGAGAGAGGTCCCAAATACAAAAATCAGAAATGAAAAAGGAGAAGTAACAACTGACACCACAGAAACACAAAAGATCGTCAATAACTACTATGAACAATTATATGGCAAGAAATTCAACAATCTAAGAAGAATGGACAATTTTTTAGAAACACATAGTCTCCCAAAACTGGACTGGGAAGATAGAAAACTTGAACAGACCAGTAACAACAGAAGAAATTAAAGATGTAATCAAGACTCCAGCAAACAAAAGCCCAGGCCCAGATGGCATCATGGGGGAGTTTTACCGAACATTCAAAATGGAACTAACAGCCATTCTCCTTAAACTATTTCAAAAAATTCAAGAAGAAGGAAGACTTCCAAATTCATTTTATGAGGCCAGCATAATTCTAATTCCAAAACCAGAAAAAGACATTACAAAGAAAGAAATCTACAGGCCAATATCCCTGATGAACATAGACGCCAAAATCCGGAACAAAATACAAGGAAATCGGATCCAGCAACATATCAAAAAAATTATTCACCATTACCAAGTGGGATTCATCTCAGGGATGCAAGGATGGTACAATATTTGCAAATCAATAAATGTGATACACCACATAAACAAAATGAAGAATAAAAACCACATGATCGACTTCCGGTCAAGATGGTGGCGTAGGTAAATGCGGTATCGCGTCCTCCCACAACCACATCAAAGTGACAACTAAACTACAGAACAACCATCATTCAAAAGCGCCTGAAATCAAGCTGAATGGAAGTTGTACAACTACGGAATTAAAAAAAAAAAAGCAGCTACATCCAGACTGGTAGGACGGGCGGCAGCGTGGTGGGTGGCAGCGGTGCGCGGCGGTGAGACATGCTGGTCCCACACCCAAGCGAGGTGGATAAAAATCAGGAGGCTCCCGCGGCTGGGAAGATCCTTCCTGAGGACTGAGGGGTCCCCATCCCACACCAGGTGCCCCGTCCAGGGTTCCAGTGCCAGGAAGAGAAGTCCCCATAACTTCTGGATGGAAAAACCAGTGGAAACTGAGGCTCAGGGAAGCTGACCTGGCTGGAGCCCCAGGCAGCTCCCTAAAGGGCCGGCGCATGGACTTATCGGACTCTCTCCCTCTAAGCTCGGAGGGGAGGCAGCTCGAAGGGTGCCAGAGACATACAGGGAAGAACTGAGCTGTTTGGCACTGGAGCGAGGGCTGGAGAGGGGGCTTCCTCGGGGACAAACGTGCTGTAAGAGGCCTTTGTTCCTTTGGTGAGCCCTTCCCCGGGGGCGGCAGACAGAAGCCATATCTGGGACTCCAGCAACCTGGCTCACACTGGTAGCCCCGCCCTGCTGACTCCCCGAGGCCCCGCCCCGCCCCACACAACTTTCAAGCCCACCCAAGCTGTTGCCACTTGCTTAACCATAGGATTGGCCGGTCTTGGATCCTGCTTCAGGTTTTTCCTAAATTCTTTCAAATGAGCAGCATCGGGTCTCAGCGAGCCCCATACCACTCATTAAGTAATACACAGAAACAAACACAGGGAGGCAGCCAAAATGAGGATACAAAGAAACAGGTCCCAAATGAAAGAGCAGAACAAAACCCCAATAAAAGAACTAAGCGAAAGGGAGATAAGCAATCTAACAGATACTGAGTTCAAAATACTGCTTATAAGGATGCTCAATGAACTTAGTGAGAACCTCAGTGAACTTAGGGAGGGCCTCAAGAGCATAAAAAAGGACCAGTTAGAAATCATGGATACACAGTTAGAATTAAAGGAGGCATTAACTGAAATAAAGAATAATTTACACAGCTTCAATAATAGAGTATGTAAATCCAAGGAGCAAACCATCGATTTGGAATATAAGGAAGCAAAAAATCCCCAATCAGAACAGCAAAAAGAAAAAAGAATCCAAAAAAATGAGGAGAGTGTAAGGAGCCTCTGGGACAACTTCAAGCGTGCCAACATTCGCATCTTGGGGCTGCCTGAAGAAGAGAGAGAACAAGAAATCGAAAACCTGTTTGAAACAATAATGGCAGAAAACTTTCCTAACTTGGTGAAGGAAACAGACATACAAGTCCAGGAAGCACAGAGGGTCCCAAACAAGATGAACCCCAAGAGGTCCACACCAAGACACATCATCATCAAAATGCAAAAGGTTCAAGACAAAGAGAGAATCTTAAAAGCAGCAAGAGAAAGGCAGCTATTTACCTACAAGGGAGTACCCATTAGGCTGTCAGCTGATTTCTCAAAAGAAACTTTGCAGGCCAGAAGGGAGTGGCAAGAAATATTTAGAGTGATGAAAAGCAAGAACCTACAACCAAAATTACTCTATCCTGCAAAGCTGTCATTTAGAATCGATGGACATATAAAAACTTTCCCAGACAAGAAAAAGTTAAAGGAGTTCATCACTACCAAACCGTTATTATATGAAATGATGAAGGGTCTTTTTGAAGAAAAAGATAAAATGTATGAAGAAACAAAATGGCAATGAATACATATCTATCAACAATGGAATCTACAAACAAAATGAACAGGAAGAACAGAAACATTCTCATAGATACAGAGATCATTTTGTTGGTTGCCAGTTGGGAAGGGGGTTGTGGGAATGGGTGAAAATGGTGAAGGGATTAAGAAGCACAAACTCATTGCTAGACTGACAAACCTCAAAGGGAAAGGGGTTGGGAGAGTGGGAAGAAATAAACCAAAGAACTTATATGCATAACCAATGGACACAGACAATAGTGTGGGAAAAGGTGAGAGGGTGGTGGGAGTGGGGAGGAGAGGGTCAATGGGGGAAAAATGTGGAACATCTGTAATACATTTTACATCCAAAAATAAAGATTTGAAAAGAAAAAAAAAATAAACCACATGATCATATCAATAGATGTTGAAAAAGACTTCGACAAAATCCTTAGCAGTGTGGGAATAGAGGGATCATATCTAGACATAATAAAGGCCATATATGAAAGACCTACAGCCAACATTATACTCAATGGGCAGAAACTAAAAGCAGTTCCCTTAAGAACAGGAACAAGACAGGGATGTCCACTTTCACTACTCTTATTTAACATAGTACTGGAAGTCTTAGCCACAGCAATCAGACAGGAAAGAAAAATAAAAGGGATCCAAATTGGAAAGGAGGAAGTGAAACTGTCATTATTTGCAGATGACATGATACTATAAAAAGAAAACCCCAAAGACTCCATCAAAAATTTACGAGACTTAATAAATGAATTTGGAAAAGTAGCAGGATACAAACTTAACGTCAAGAAATCGATGACATTTTTATACACCAATGATAAACTCACAGAAAGAGAAACTAAAAAAAACAATCCCATTTATCATTGCGGCAAAAAAAATTAAGATAGCTAGAAATAAACTTAACCAAAGAAATAAAGGACCTATTTGCAGAAAAGTACAGGTCATTGAATAAAGAAATAGAGGAAGATATAAAAAATGGAAGCACATACCTTGTTCATGGATTGGAAAAATTAACATCATTAAAATGTCCATATTACCCAAAGCAATCTATAGATTCAATGCAATCCCCACCAAAATACCAATGGCATACTTCACAGAATTAGAACAAATACTTCAAAAGTTCATATAGAACCCAAAAAGACCTCGAATAGCCACAGCAATCAAAAAAGAAGAACAACGTTGGAGGAAGCACATTACCACATATACTACAAAGTCACTGTAATCAAAACAGCCTGGAACTGGCACAAGAACAGGCATAGAGACCAGTGGAACAGAACAGAGAACCCAGAAATGGACCCAAGGCAATATGCTCAATTAATATTTGACAAAGTTGGCAAGAGCGTACAGTGGAGTAAGGACAGCCTCTTTAATAAATGGTGCTGGGAAAATTGGACAGCTACTTGCCGAAAAATGAAACTAGACCATCAACTTACACCCTACACAAAAATAAAGTCAAAATGGATGTTTATTAAATGTGACTCATGAATCTGTAAAAATCCTAGAAAAAAGAGTAGGCAACAAAATTTCAGACATCATACACAGCAGAATTTTCACTGATACATCACCTAAGGCAACAGAAACAAAGAAGAAAATGAACACATGGGACTACATCAAACTCAAAAGCTTCTGCACAGCAAAAGATACAATCATCAAAACGGAAAAGCTACCCACTGTATGGGAGAGCATAATTGCCAATGATATATCAGATAAGGGGTTAATTTCCAATACATATAGAGTGCTCATACAACTCCACAAAAGGAAGACAAAGAACCCAATTAAAAAATGGGCAGAGGAACTAGACAACTCTCCAAACAGGATATACGAATGGATAAGAGACATATAAGAAATGCTCGACATCCCTAATCATCAGGGAGATGCAAATTAAAACAACAATGAGGTATCACTTCACACCTGTCAGAACAGCCACCATCAACAAATCATCAAACAACAAGTGTTGGCGAGGGTGTGGAGAAAAGGGGACTCTAGTACACTGCTGGTGGGAATGCAGACTGGTGTAGGCACTGTGGAAAACAATATGGTGTTACCTCAAAAAATTAAAAATTGAATTCCATTTGAACCAGTAATCCCACTTCTGGGAATATACCCAAGAAGCCTAAAACACCAATCAGAAAGAATATATGTACCCCCAAGTCTGTAGCAGCACTATTTACAATAGCTAAGATCTGGAAACAGCCCAAGTGTCCATCAGTAGACAAATGGATAAAAAAGCAGTGGTACATATACACAATGGAGTACTATGCAGCTGTAAGAAAGAAAGATCTCTTATCCTTTGCGAGGACATGGTATGACCTGGAAAGTGTCATCCTAAGCAAAACAGAGCAAGACAAATATCATATGATCTCACTTATTTGTGGAATATAATGAACATAACAGTCTGAAGAATGGCGTAGTCTCAAAGACGTGGATGTGGGGTACAGACTGACTATCCCCAGAAGAGGAGGTGGGGGGGAGAGATAAACCACAGAACTTATATGCCTGTATGCATGAACAATGGACAGGGACAACAAAGCTGGAGAGAGGGTGGAAAGGGAAGGTGAGGGGGGAATCAGTGGGGGAAAAAGAAGAAGCACCTGTAAAAAAATAATTTAATTATAAGAAAAATAAATAAATAATTAAATAAATAAAACAATACAATAATTAATAATAATAATAAAAAAGAATGTCCGCCCAGCCCGTTATAAAGCTCGGCATGCCCTGCAGCTTGGGGTCCAGAATTTGGATACTGCCTCCTCTTGGTCAGCATGCATAAATAAAGGAAACTCTGCTTTCTCCAGTGTTCTGTCTGAGTCTTTTCCATAACAGAGATGCAAGCAGACCACGAGGTGCCTCTGGAACAAAGAAAATTCCTGCAAAGATTGATTAATAGCTACCTACTGATACCTTCTTGTTTATCCATATCATATAAGGTAAATACAAAATGTAATTGTAAAGGTTAAAGTCAATCCCAATGATTTTTTTCACTCTCTATTTCCCAATACAAGAAAATTTCTATACAAACTACAAACAGATAGAAGCTCATATACTAGAGATGGTTGGGTCTCTTCCTTTTCTTGTGAGGAGAGTCCACCACTCTGTTTGTGGAGGGCTTTTCTTGCTTATCCTCTCTGCTCTATAAACTTACTTCCAATTTAAATTCTCTGTTTGAATTTGAATTCTTTCTTGTGCAAAGCCAAGAACCCACAGTGGGTTGTGGACCGTTGGGTTCCTGAACCCTGATAATGCTGGCATCATGCCCACCCAGGGCTCTGAAGCCTCATAGCCCTAGTGAAGAAGCTGACTCACCAGTGGGTTTTGAGGCGTTGGGTGGGAGTTTGTAACATCCAGATGCAAGGACTGATTTCAAGAAGAGGTGCTATCAGATCATTTCCCTCCAGGCCTAATTTTCATGTTACCTGCAGAAGTAGAACAATCTCTAACTTGGGAGTTGGGGGGAAGGATTGCCTAAGAGGACATTTACTCATCTCCTTCCTGGAAAGCAGATAGAAGCAGCTGTGTTAGCCTAGGGTTCAGTTGACAGGTGTCTTGATAAGCTCAACAAGTGTTTCCTGCTAAGCCTACTCCTAAATAGGGCCCTAGTCCTCAGAGTTGCTGCCAGACACAGAGCATTTCTGTGGGAATTTGGAAATTGTTACCATCTACTGAAACTAATAAGAATAACACCCTTTTTTCTGTATCTGTAGGGAATGAACCATGCTCCCCAGGGGTATGCCAGCTGGCTGCAACATTCTGGGCCTGGGATTCACTTCATCCCTAGTGCTCAGGGAAGCGGTGCCTCTGGGAATATTTACCACTGCTCATAGCTTGAGGGATGGGCTTTTCTAAGGCTGCTGTCAACCTGACATAAGTAAAGGATGGCAGAATAGATCACCCCAAAATGTATCTCTTTGTTTATAAGGATTATCTTGAGCTGTTTATTTTTTATTAACAGCAGACATTGGAAGAAAACAGAGTGAAAGCTGCCCTTTTGTGAAGGATATTAACACTGATAGAAAAATCATTTGTAAGGGGACTCCCCTCTCTGGTCCTATCAATGGAAATGGATTAAACCTACATGATAAACCTTATTCTTATTTACCAGGCTACTCCTGATAACCTCCCATAACTGGCCTCCTCACCCCTCAATTTCTTTACTTTGTCTTCAGCTGAAAATGGTATTTAAGCTGGTGGTTTAGGCCATTTCAGGGAGGTACTAAGTTTCCCTGGGTATCTTCCATATGTACATGAGCTGTACATGTCAATAAACTTCATAGTAAAGAAAACTACTAGAGAACAAAATTTACTGCATCCTATATGTTTAATATTTTGTAGTTCTATTTTCACTTGGCTTTATGTATTTTCTATTTCCTTTTAGAAGTGTGTTGTTTAATTTCTAATTGTTTATAGATTTTCTCTTCCCTTTCTATTATTATTGATTCCTAGTTTGATACCATATAATATTTTTTAATATTAAAAAAAATTGTTGGGGTTTGATTAAGTCCCTAGATAAAGCCTGTCTTGCTGAATGTTTCATGAACTGATAGTGTTGGATGGAGAGTTCTATCCACATCATTTATCTTGGTAAATTGTGTTGTTAAGAACTTCTACATCCTGGCTGATTTTCTGTCTAATAGTTCTATTAGTTGCTAAGAGAGGCTGTTTAAATCCTCAACCATAATTGTGGATTTCTTCTTTGAGTTCACTAAGTTTTTGCTTCATGTGTTTTGAACCTCTGTTGTTTGATACATACACACTTAGGATCATTATATCTTATATAAATATAAGTACTCTTGATTTTAAAAATTGTTTGCTTTGCCTTTTACTTGATATGTTTAGACCATGTACATTCAAAATACTTTTATTATTATTTTTTAATCCTCATGAGGATTTCCATTGATTTTTCAGGTAGAGTGGGAGGGAGGGAGGAAGGGAGAGAGAGAGACACATTGACTGGCCACCTCCTACATGACCCCAACCAGATCTAGGGATCTAACTACAACCTAGGTATGTGTCCTTAGCCAGAAAATTATTGGAATAAATTAATTTAGTAATGTTGCAAGATAAAGAACTAATATGCAGGAATCAGTTGTGCTTCTATATTTTATTTATTTTCTTATAAAATTTAATTTTTTCTATCATCATTTATCCCTTCTATGCCCCCCTCCCAATTACCAAACTGTTGTCCATGTCCTTGAGTTCTCTTTTTTTTCTTTTTTGTTCAATTCCTGCAGCCTTCCCTGCATCACCACAACTGTCTACCTGATCCCTATTACGAGTCTATCTCTATTTTGCTTGGTAGTTCAGTTTGCTCATTAAATTCCACATATGAGTAAAATCATACAGTACTTGTCTTTCTCTGACTGGTTTATTTCACTTAGCATAATGTTCTTCAGGTCCATCCATGCTGTTGCAAAAGGTAAAATTTTCTTTTTTATGGCAGAGTAAATGTACCACATCTTTTTTATCCATTCATCTACTAATGGACACTTGGGCTGCTCCTAAATCTTGACTATTGTAAATAACACTGCAATGAACACAGGGGTATAGACAGTCTTTCCTCTGGCCTACAGGACGACACTCCAACCACTGAGCCAAACTGGCCAGGGCATCGGGTTTCTTTGGATAAATTCCCAGAAATGGAATTGCTGGGTCATAAGGCGGTTCCATTTTTAATTTTTTGAGGTAACTTCATACTGCTTTCCACAGTGGCTACACCACTCTGCATTCCCACCAACTGTGCACATGGTTCTCTTTTCTCCACATCCTTGCCAATACTTACTCTTTGTTGATTTATTGATGATAGCCATTCTGAGATATGTGAGGTGATATTTCATTGTAGTTTTAATTTGCATTTTTCTGATGATTAGTGATGTTGAGCATCTTTTCATATGTCTATTGGCTGTCTGTATGTCCTCTTTGGAGAAGTATCTATTCATGTCTTTTGCCCATTTTTAAACTGGATTTTTCTTTTTTTTGGTGTTCTTTATAAATTTTTAAAATCTTTATTGTTGAATGTATTACAAATGTTCATCATTTTTCCCCCATTTACCCCCTCCTCCTGACTCTCATCCCCCTCCTGCCTTTCCCCATACTGTTGTCAGTGTCTATTGGTTATGCATATATGCATATAATTTCTTTGGTTTATTTCTTCCCACCCCCAACCCCCCTTCCCTTTGAGGTTTGTCAGTCTAGCAACCAGTTTGTACTTTTTAATTCTTTCACCTTTTTCACCCATTCCCCCAAACCCCCTCCCATCTGGAAACCAACAAAATGTTCTCTATATCTAATGAGAATGTTTCTGTTCTGCTTGTTCATTTTGTTTGTAAATTCAATTGTCAATAGATATATATTCATTGACATTTTGTTTGTTCATATTTTTTATCTTTTTCTTCAAGAAGACCCTTCAACATTACATATAATAATGGCTTGGTGGTGATGAACTCCTTTAGCTTTTCCTTGTCTGGGAAAATCTTTATATGGCCATCGATTTTAAATGACAGCTTTGCAGGATAGAGTAATCTTGGTTGTAGGTTTTTGCTTTCATCACTCTGAATATTTCTTGCCACTCCCTTCTGGCCTGCAAAGTTTCTTTTGAGAAATCAGCTGACAGTCTTATGGGAACTCCTTTGTAGGTAACTAGCTGCCTTTCTCTTGCTGCTTTTAATATTCTCTCTTTGTCTTGAACCTTTTGCATTTTGATGATAATGTATCTTGGTGTGGGCCTCTTGGAGTTTATCTTGTTTGGGACTCTCTGTGCTTCCTGGACTTGTATGTCTGTTTCCTTCACCAAGTTAGGGAAATTTTCTGCCATTATTGTTTTAAATAGGGTTTCGATTTCTTGTTCTCTCTCTTCTCCTTCTGGCAACCCCAAGATGCAAATGTTGGCACGCTTGAAGTTGTCCCAGAGGCTCCTTACACTATTCTCATTTTTTTGGATTCTTTTTTCTTTTTGCTGTTCTGATTGGGTGTTTTTTACTTCCTTATATTCCAAATCGATGGTTTGCTTCTTGGCTTTACCTACTCTACTTTTGAATCTGTGTAAATTATTCTTTATTTCAGTTAGTGCCTCCTTCATTTCTGACAGGTCCAATTTTATGCTCTTGAGGCCCTTACTAAGTCTGCTGAGGTTCACACTAAGTTCATTTTAATTAAATGAACATCCTTATAAGCAGTATTTTGAACTCAGCATCTGTTAGGTTGCTTATCTCCATTTCGCTTAGTTCTTTTCCTGGCATTTTGTTCTGTTCTTTGATTTGGGACCTGTTTATTTGTCTCCTCATTTTGGCTGCCTCCCTGTGTTTGTTTCAATGTATTACTTAACAAGAGGTATGAGGTTAGCTAAGACCAGATGCTGCGTGTTTGAAAGAATTTAGGAAAAGTTGAAGCAGGATCTGATACAGGACAATCCTACGGTAAAGCAACTGGCAACATCTTGGGTGGGCCTGAAGGTTGGGTGAGGCAGGGCCTCGGGGAATCACCAGGGTGAGGCAAACAGTGTGAGTCAGGTTGCTGGAGTCCCAGATATGGCAGCTGTCTGACGCCCCAGGGAAGGGCTCACCAAAGGAACAAAGGCCTCTGACAGCATGTCTGTCCAGGAGAAAGCCCCTTCTCCAGCCCTTGCTCCAGTGCCAAACAGCTCAGTTCTTCCCTGTATATCTCTGGTAGCCCTCGAGCTGCCTTCCCTCCAAGTTGAGAGGGAGTGAGTCTGATAAGTCCCTGCGTAGGCCCTTTAAGAGAAGCTGCCTGAGGCTCCAGCCGCCTCAACCTCCCTGAGCCTCAGTTCCCGCTGGTTTTCCAGCCAGAAGTTATGGGGACTTCTTTTCCGGGCACTGGAACCCTAAGCTGGGTGCCTGGTGTGGGACAGGGACCCCTCAGTTCTCAGGGAGGACCTTCCCAGCCGAGGTATTTTCCTGATTTTTATCCGCCACACGTGGGTGTGGGACTAGCCTGCCCACCTCCGCCCCTCCTACCAGTCTCAATGCGGCTTCTTCTTTAATTTTGTAGTTGTAGGACTTCCATTCAGCTTGATTTCAGGTGGCTCTGAATGATGGTTGTTCTGTAGTTTAGTTGTAACTTTGATGTGGTGTTAGGAGGTCTTGAGACCACATTTACCTACACCACCATCTTGACCAGAAGTCCTTCTTTATAAATTTTGATTATTAACCCCTTATCAGATGTGTCACTGATGAATATGTTCTCTTATTCAGTGGGTTGTCTTTTCATTTTGTTGGTCATTTCCATTCTGTGCAAAGATCTTTAGTTTGATGTAGTCCCATTTGTTTACTTTTTCTTTTTTTCCCCTTGCCTATATCAGAAAAAATATTGCTACAAGAAATGTCTGAGATTCTACTGCCTATTTTTCTTCTAGGATCTTTATGGTTTTGACTGTAACAGTTAAGTTTATTCTTATGT